AACCATGTTCCAAATCATAACAGTTTTGTCCAAATTCCTACTTGTGTGTGAGCAGGAGTTGATGGTTGAATTAGAAGGATGTGCTCGGGAAGGGGAAGGACCTTGTTTTTATTTGTTTGTTCTCCTTGGAACATTTCCTCTTTTTGTCTGGACAGTCATCTCTGCATTGCTGTAGCTGCTTCATGCTAGCAGTTGCCCCAATGATTATAATCTTAGACAGAGGAAACTTCCTGTACTTGATCTGCTTTGGCCATAGCTCTGGGTAGGTTTGAGCTTTAATTCCAATTGAATTTACTGTCTGGAGTATGTCAGTGTTAACAATACATAGATTTGAATTCAGTGCACAGATGTTACTGGTGATATTCTTAGGCTGGTTGAAGTATAGCAAGTCTGGTAGCTTGTCTTAAAGAAACACTCAGTGCGGGATGACCTTAGAAATAAACATCTGCACCTAGACCCTTGTCTTTCAAAGGTCGCTCCTGTGCTTGTTTCATTGCTGTTGCATCAAAATCATGCATGTAGAATTAAATTGCCACTCACTGCTGCTTCTAGCACTTGTTAGTCAAAGGCTAGGAGGGCAGACTGCTGACTCAAGTTACGAGAACTTTAGGAAAAGATGTGAAAGTTATAAATGCAAACAAGTGAATGATTCGGGGGGGGACACGGACGATGGATGGACAGAAATTTCCATACTTGAACACTAAGTGCAAAGCCCTTTCATAAACTCCAGTATGTGGTACCAACTGTGAAGCTGACTATAACTCACCACCTCTTCCTACACACCAGTTCTCTTCTGGGTTTCATGGATGGGACTTCAATGCTTCCTGCATGTTTTATTAGATGTGTTATTTTTGTTTCAGGTAGTATTTGATCTCAGTCCACAACAAAAAGAATGGCAAAGGTAAAGCACTGAGATGCATGTCTATGGTTTGTATTATGTGTACTGGAAGTGACTTTGAGGTACACCAGAGTCACGTGACAGAACTAAATCTTGGGTCTAACAGCTTTGCTTTTAATTTAAGGGTGCAAACCTGTGAAAACGATAATTTACTTCGGTTTTCTCATGATTTGAGACCTCTGTTATGGAAAAAATTGGCTTTGAGCTTATTTGTGGAATTGGGTCATGCAGTTACAAGCCAAGATGTATGGCCTTGCTCAAACAAGTTTCCAAATGAATGCTTGGTAGCACAAGTTTTAATTATGGGATCGGATGCGTAGCAGATAGCTTGATATCTGAATGTCAAGGCTGGGCCATAGTAACACATCGGCACATCCTTGCGAAAGCAAGTGAGTTTGAGTCTTTCGTATAAATGAATTTACACATTGTTTATCATTTAAACTGGAATGGTTTGGATATGTGATCCCCATACTGATAGTCTTGTAACGGAACCTGAAGCTCATTTGGAAGTCTGGCTATTTCCAGTATTTTGGTAACACACTGCTGTCAAGGCCAGAGCTTTAAGTTCTGTGTAAAATGTCATTCTCAAAGCTTAGTGTAACGCTTTAATACTGACGTGAACCCTGCTAACTTCTCAATTTATAATCTGTAACTGGAGCTGATAATTCATTGTGAAGTTTTTTGGGGTTTTTTGGTTTGTTTTTTTTACTGTTGCATGCTTTCACGCTTGTCTGTGTAATTTGTAGGATGCTGCAGCTAATTCAGAGTAGGCTGCAGGAAGAACACTCTCTTCAAGATGTGATATTCAAAAGTGCTTTTAAAAGTGCTTCTACAGCACTGCCGCCACGGTAAGAAAATTGAGATGTTGTGTTATCATTC